GTGTGTGTGGATTACAGTCTTGCAAATAACCCAGAGCTCTGTGATCCAACGGGAAGGGGTTTGATGGGGTTGATGCGAACGTGTCCCAAGAAGCGCCAATGGCAGCCTTGGTACACTATTGTGATTTCGGTTTTGTCTGTGATCTTGGTTATCCTTCTGGTTGGAATTTTCGTATTCGTCATCCGGTGGAAAAGAGAAGGTATGGCACACGTTGCTCTCATTGTTTCTCTATTCTGAATTGCCTATTTTCAGGTATACTGCCCTTTTGCATTGCCTTATTTTCAAGTATTTTGCCCTTTTGCAAAGTAGTGTTTCATTGACTTTTATGAACTTCTATCGCACATATTTCACAAACGGAAGTGATGATCAATGTGGGTGGAATGGGTGAAAGACAACCAGGGGGACCACCATCTTCCCCCGAACATAACGCACCTCCATCTCAACTGTATTGGACTGGAAAACTAGCTTGTATACGGTCATAATGAGGGTGTGTTGTCTTCCGGGGAAGATGGTACCAGTCACACTCAAATCATCAAAGAGGATGTGAAAACCCTTTCTTCCTTTCTTCCTGCCTGCCTGCCTGCCTGTTCGCTCCCCGTCTCCTTCATCTTCCCCTCTCCTTCCAAGTTTGCACTCTCAGCCTCTTCTTCCGATACCTGTTCTGGTTCTTCCCTTTGCTGCCTTTCTGTCTCTTCCTTCCTGTTCCCCATAGCTTGTGGCCCTACTCTTTCCGCTTTCGTTTCTCCCCCTCCCCTCTCCTCCCCTCTCCTCCCCTCTCCTCTCCTCTCCCCTCTCCTCCTTGCATTCCTCTTCCATTCCCTTTCACCCGTACATTCCCTCCGGTCACTTTCCTTCGCCTTTCCCTCCCTCCCTTCCTGATACCCAGAACTTGTGGGTTGTGGCCCTTCTCTTTCCATTTTCGTTATACCCAGAACTTGTGGGTTGTGGCCCTTCTCTTTCCATTTTCGTTTCTCTCTTCACCCTTGTTTATCCCCCCTCTTTCCCCCCTCCGCTCTCGTTCTTGCATTCCTTTTCCATGTCCTCCACCCCCTTCTCTTCCCTTCCTTTCACTTCACGTCCATTTCCATTCTCTCCCCCTCCCCTCCCCTCCCCTCCCCTTCCCTCCCCTCCCTTCTCTTCCCGTCCCTCCCATCTTTCTTTCCCTCACCCTTGCTTCCCTCTTATCCTCTGCCTTTTACTTTTGTCCGCTATTGACCGTGCCTGCCCCCCCTCCTGACCCCCTTTTTGTCCCCTCTTTCCTGCTCTCTTTCCTTCCCTCCCTCTCTTCACCACTGGTCCCTTTTCCATCCCCTCCCCCTTACCTTTCCGTCCTGTTCTTCATCTCTCCATCCCCTCTTCTCTTCCTTTCTTTCGTTCCTTTCTATTCCTTGTGTCCTGGAAGAGTCAACAGCCAGACGGATGTTGAGGCTCTTGCCATTGTTGATTATTTGGAATTACGAGTGTTCTTTGTGCTCTGTTTGTTTGTTTGTTTGTTTGTTTGTTTGTTTGTTTGTTTTTCCGTTCCCATTCTCTCTGCTTTCCTGTGGTGTTCGCACTGCCTCTTTGATTGAGGATTGGTAGGATGCAAGAGGCTTTGTTGACATTGCTTTCGAACTGATTAACCTATTGTTGTGCGGGATCATTGCAGAGGGGGTAGCCCCTATGACATTATTTGAATTTATTTCATTCATCGGATGCCATCAGGACTCGAACTCGTGATCTGTTCATCAACAGTTACGTGAGTAGTGGCACACACAATTCACATTGAATTCAGCCACATAGGCTGGTGCAACAGCTTTGAGATTTGGAAGTCTAATCAACAATCTTTCTAGTGGTTTTTTTTAACTGTTTTCTACTATTATGGTGATCCTGTTTTGTGAATCGATTCCTTCTTCCGCCTTGGTGGTGATCCTTCCCCTATCGGTGCTCGTTTGTATGTCGAATCTTGATGATAGTGTGGCTTTCTGGTGATAACCGTGATATATATGTTTGTCGCAGAGAAGTACCAGATCATGCCGATGGCGCACGCACACAGAGGTGGGCATTCAGGGGGAGGTCGACATTCACATTCACAACCGCGGAGCTCCTCTTCAGATGGTGCGGCAAGCGGACGGAAGGTTATCTGTTTCTCGTTGAAGGAACTAAGGACAGCCACAAGAGATTTCAATCCGGCGAACATGCTTGGCTCCGGCATGCATGGTGCGACGTTCAAAGGGAAGCTGCAAAACAGATCAGTAGTGGCTGTGAAAAGGTTCGGGATGCAAAGCACAGCGGTCACTGGATCGCCTCGGGATTTCAAAAAGGACATGGAGGTATACTTCAAACTTCGCCACAATCATCTTCTGGAGCTCATCGGTTACTGCGCTACATCGAAGGAGAGGCTCCTTGTTTACGAGTACAGTCAACATCGTTCAATTTTTGACCACTTACAAGGTATGTGCAAAGTTCTGCCTTTTTTCTTTCTTTTTTTTATTAACAATTTAACACCCACATACTCATAGG